TCGTACATATTTTTATAGTCCATATAGCCTTCGGCCTTATAGCCTTATCCTCTTATTGTCTTACTCCCTTTCGGGCCTATGGATACCCTCATAGGACGGCCCTTGAAGACCTATGGGTATCGCCATAATATAGCCCTTGAGGACCTATAGGTACCCCTATAGGATAGGCCTTGAGAATCTATGGGTACCTGCATATGATAGCACTTGGGACCTTCCTTTTGTAGAAATATTTGACCTGTAACCTTTAACCTTTGATCTGGCACAGACAGACACGCACACTGAACATTATATATGTAGATTTCGGCTGTATCTCGACTTAGGTAGACGGTAAAATCTAGAATTTTTTTAAGGATGCGCCATAAAAAGTTCTACAAAAATTGTAATAACAAATCTCTATTGACTTGTGTTAATGGTTTCTATCACATTCAAAATGAAACATCTGCGTTCAAGTACTGCTTCTCACCATATCGTGCGTAATCAAAAAAAGGTTTGGAAGATTTTTTTGTTTTCGAATAGGAATTTGTTCATACAACTTTTGTGTAATTTTCGATGGCATCTCTTGTGAAAAAAAATCAAGATTTTATCATTTTCTAAAGCTGAGGTACATGTAAAACTAAAACAGTGTTTCCAACGTTTTCTTTTTTATTGCGCACAATATAGTGAGAAGCAGTACTTGAATGCAGCTTTTTCATTTTGAGTGTGCCAGAAATTATTGACACAAGTTTTACATAGTTAAATTTCCAACTAAACGAACTAGTTTTTATTTAAAAAGAAATCCTTTTAGAGATTCTTAACAGTTAAATGTAATTCATAAAGAAAGAACATTCTAATCTTTGAATGTGATGGTTTTGTTTTAATAACTTTTTTTTTCTTTTTGAATAAATAATAGAAAATGAAATGATTATGATCAAACAATTTCTTTGTAAATTATTCTCTGGTCAATGTCAATTAATATCTTTTCGACTTGATATTAGTAATGAATCTCGAGATGGCAGTATTCATCGATGTTTATCATCAAGCTTTTATATCTTTTCCAATTTAATTCCGTATCAACATCAATCTTATTGTGTAACCCTTCGTTATTTATATGTCCGAATTAATCAAATACGTTTTCTTGAAGATCTTATTGAACATGTACCTAATCTTGAAAAATTATCAGTTGAATTAGATTGTTCATTAGGTTCGTTTGCATCATGGAGGAAATCAAATGTTGAAATATTAAAACAATCAAAGACAAATTGGTTTAATAAAGTAAGAAAAAAGAATAATTAACTTTTTTTTTATTTAAATTCTTTTTCTTTTAATAAATAAAAATAATTAAATTCTTTTGTAGTTACAAAAATTAAAATATTTTAGTTTAAAAACTTTCATTTATGAGGATTATGAATTTATTTATTTAAAATGGCTTCTCAATAATTTAAATTATATTGAAAAACTTCAACTTCATATTAAACATGATAAATTAAACGAAAGAATATGTCATAATATAATGAAATCTTTGATTGATGCAAGTTTTATTCGTCAATATTGTTTACCTGATTTAATACCGAATTTAATTTATTTTAATTTTTATATTTATTGGAAATGTCAATTATCATTTAATGATATTGAAATAATAAAAAATTCATTTAAAATTCATCCATTTTTTATTTCATATCAATGGACAAATGTAACATGTTTATTTGATCCAATAATATCATGTCAACATTTATTCTCTTCTTTTAATAATACAGTTCGATCTTCTAATAGTTTTATGTAAATTATTTATTATTATGAAATCTGAGAGAACTTCTTAGCTAAATGATAGTTATTTTTTATTCTAGTAATTATTCATATATTTTCAATTGGCCACCTCTTTACAACATTTGGTATAATTTATATCCATCACTTTATTTATTTCTTGAACGATTTAATGATTATTCTCGTCATGTTTCTTGTATCAAAGTATATAAAAGTAATTTAATTTATTATTTAAACGATTCTCTTGATTAGACAAGAAGAGATATTTTCTTAGAAATATTCATTGATCTTATTTTCAACTAAATCTAGAAGAAAAATATTAAAATAAATAAAATTTCTTTGTTATAGGTTCCATACAAGATTTTGATAAAACTGATCTTCGAATGTCATTGGAAATTTTATCCAATATGAAAGAAAACAATCGAATTGATAGTCCTTTTCGAAATGTTACAAAAATTCAATTTGGAACATATTTTGATCGAAGAAGCAGTTAGTACTAATTTGGATTTTTGTGTTAAGATTTAAAATAAATAAGGTTGCTTTTATATGTATAGCTAAAACAAAATATCCTCTGCATATTTTTTTATAGTTTTAAATTTTATATAGAACTATTTCGCCTATGAATATTTATATAAGAGGGATTTTTCAAGTTTTTTTTTTCTAAATGAACTGTTCAGAGAACTATAATCATTTTATAAATACAGTAAAATCTTCATTAATGAATACTTTTTGCCTGATTCCGTTAGTGTTCATTTTAGAGAGGTTTCACTGTATATGTTATTCTATTAATCGAAACATTCTTTATTTGAAAGAGAACACTAATAAGCTTATTTTTAGAGAATAGGTTCATAGATCACAAACAAAAAGCAAAATTTTTCATTATAGTTTAGAAAATAAATGTTTCTATTGAAATTTAATTCGATATGAACCTTTTTTTTTCGATATTTGGTGAAATTTGAATAGTTTTTATGGTATATAACGAGCGTTCCATAATGAATGATCAGTTTTTTGTATTTCTTGTTTTTATCATCTAGTATGTTTATTTTAGAAAAAATATCACATAAGATGCAGCGTGAAAAGCTCTACAATTTCCATGAGATCACTTATTTTATAGCTGCACTTTTTTTTTTTCAAAATGGATAAAACTTTGACGGATCAAATTTGGACCGTGCGAAAATTAGTCGCACAGAATTTTGCTTTTTTTGAAAACAATTACAATACGCTTTACTGTGTAAATTGTAGAGCTTTTCACGCTGCATCTTGTGTTATATTTTGTTTTTAAAATAAACGTACTAGGTGATAAAAACAAGAACTACAAAAACTGCTCATTCATTATGGGACACTCGTTATATTTATTACACTTCAATGTACCATTTAAATAGAAAATTTTAGAAAAATGAGTTTCTAATTTTGAATATATCGATTAGAATATGATTACTTTATATTGTTTGACAAATATTTTTATAATTGTTATGAAAAATATTAAAATTTCGTTTTTAGACTATAATCATTTGGCAATTGATCAGAACGAAATACGTGCAAAAGTACTTGCTTATCTTATTGCAATGACTGTACAACTCAAATATCTTCTTATCGAACGATTTGAATGGCTTTTACATATTGTTCAATACGTAAGATTTGAAAGCATAGCAAATTCAAAAGTGTTACCAATTTTCAGCAAATTTCTGATTTCTAATGATGAAATCTATGAAAACGATCAGAAAAGCATAAATCAGAAATCTACTTTTGCCTATAATTTCTAATGACTAGCAGAAAAGCAGAAATCAGAAATTCAATTTCGTGCATAATTCTCAATCATTATCACAAAAGCAGAAACCAGATATTGACTCATGTTACACATTTCTAAGACACTATGTGAAAACGAGAACAGCGTCTCTATCCTAAGCCTCGCCTTGTCCTCAAGATGCGCTAATTCAGCGTTGCAGCCCTCACCCTTAGAGAGTAATACGCCATGTGTGTTTTCGCCCTCACGCCTCTCTATATATTGGAATCTTTAATAGCTCATATCTCTTTTACGTAAACTTAATTGAATTTCCGAAGAAGTCCATAAAAGACATCATATGTTTGAATGATGATAGTAGTAGATTTCTGATTAATTTTATAAGGATAGGAGTAAATTTCTGAGGCATTTTGACGTTTCGTCGCTACTTTTCATTCCGAACATCCAATGTCGTAGTCCGTTCCGAACATCCGTGGTTCTTTAAAAAATCGTCACTTTTAAGATAAAAATATCGGATGTTCGTTATGAG